AAACAAAAAAAAAAAAAAAAAAATAGAACCCGGGTTTAAATACATGTGGTTTATGTGTAACTGTGCAATTTGCGTTTCAAATATCAATCCAAAAATCGCATGGTTAAGGTGATTGTATATTACTTGCACCTTTATCGGAGTGAAATATTTGCAGAATTATGTTTTATATTAGAATTTTCCCTCGAGCAATGTAAGTTAAACAAAATTTCGTACAGGTTAAGATATGTAGTTCTTCCAAGAGGCAACCGTGCAATCCCTCACAGCACGCTCTAGGATCGAATTTCTCCAGCCTTCTTCTAGTCAACTATAAAAAGTTACTTCAGAGACCATGGTACATTGATTTTTTTTTCTTCTGTCTTCCTAAAGGCCGGCATGGTCTGACTCCTTTGTCTCATATTTTGGTTAGTTAAAATTCCATATGATTTAGCTAGAGTATGGTGAAATGTCCAATTCATGGACGATGTCATTGATATATACAAAATATTTGTTCTGGACGACAGTCCTAGAAATAATGGATCGATGCTCGTGTCAACATACAATCTTATTGTTTACAATATATATAAACACATAAACTTATTTGTTTAAATAGCTGAAGGATGTGTTTCTATGTAGTCCCATCTTGTCTTGTGTGCATTTTCTTAATATTGAAAAACAAATGAGTGTTTAATTTATTGCAACTTTGCTATGTCACCAATTTAGGCCGGCACACAATAATCACATCGATGATATCTTTCTACTCCCACCCCCGGGGAGTGACTGCTGAAAGAAGTTTTGGGATTTAATTTTGGGTTTTTGTGAAACAGTAAAAAGTTTTGGTAGACCGATAACATCTACAGGCTTGTTTGTGTGTAATACTGGATTCTATTAGGTTGCTAAGTGGTCCTTCGTCTCTTCAAACTTTGAAAAAAAAAATGCAATTTGGTATTTAATAGATTCACCCACCACTCCTTTTCAACATCATGACCTTGTCCCAGACATTGGCTTTCAATGCCTATTTAGTTGACTTCAAGTTGTCGAACCAATATTATGGGTTGGCATGTCAAGGGATTAAATATTGATTGATCCGACTCACGATAAATAATATTTTTACAATATATAATCAAATTTGGTAAGAAATAATGATTTCATATGATCTAAATAACTCAACAAATTAAATTTAGCAAATTATATCAAAATTTTTACTTAAATTCATATATAATAATTTTATCCAATACTTATTATATACATGGAAAATGCTATTTAGACTAAAAATCTGACATAATTTACTGACCTAATAACATGGCTTCATTGGAACCATTGGATAAACACCAAATTCTAATGTTTGATGGAACTCATTGTTAATCCAAAAGTTATAGTGAATTAAGTCAGCAAATTAGGTCAATAAATTAGGTCACAATATCATTGCTCTATATACATATATATAACTCAAACGTGGTCACAATTCGATTGCATACCATCTATCCAAATAAGAATTTGTTGGATATAGTATAACGAATTCAAAATGTCCATCAAAAGTATCAATCTATGTCTAAATAATCAAATTTGAATTCATATCAAAATTCGATCTATTATTAGGTCTAATTTTGTGCATCTACTTGAATTGGTGCCTAGCTATATGGCATGAAATCACTTTTTTATGCAAAAGTTTTGACCATTTATTTTGAAAACATTTTCATTTAATGAATTTTCAATTTCAATTATCCCATGCTCAAAAACTTGTTTGACAATGTATGGACCCGTCCATCTTGATCTTAACTTTTCAAAAAATAGGCGAAGTTTTGAGTTATATAATAAAATTTTTTCAGATGGTACAAATGACACAATATTTTTATTATGAAAATTTTTTATTCTAGACTTCCAAAATTTCACTTTTTCATATGCTTCATTTCTTAGTTCTTTTAATTCATTGGTCTAAAGTTTGTAGGATGCACTTGTTTTTTCTATATCAAAATTCATCATTTTGATGGTCCAGTATACTCGGTGTTCCAATTTCATAGACAAGTGACATGATTTACCATAAACCAACCGATAAAGAGACATTACAATAAGTTCAAAGTGCATCAGTCAGTCTCAAAGACTAATTCTTACGATCTGGGTTAACTATTATTTCCAAAAATATATTTTATCTCTCTATTCACTAATTAAGTTTGTCTGCTTGTTTGGGGATGATAAGGGGCAGATACTTTATGTGAAATCAAATATTTTTTAATTAAATTTTTAAAAGATTTATTGCAAAAATGTGTACCTCCTTCACATATAATAATTCAAGGAATTTTGAATTTAGACAAAATATTTTCTTTTAAAAATCTGATCACTTTACGGTGATCATTGTTTCAACAAGGAACTGCCATAACCAATTTGGAAACATAATTAACAGTAACCAAAATGTGCAGATGTCCAAAGGAAGGGAAAAATGGTCCAATAAAATCAATACCCTGAGAATAAAAAGTTTGAATAAATCAAAATAAGATTTAAAGACATCATATTTCTTTTTGAAATATTCTCCATCTTTTGACTTCGATCACAATTTAGACAAAAAATATGTACATCCTCAAAAAGAGTAGACTAATAAAATCTACACTACAAAATTTTAGTAGCAAATTTTTTTGAAGAGAAATACCTACCATAAGCTTTAGAATGCAAAAAGAAATAACCTGACCTATTTCATGTTTGGGTACAAAATGCCTTATTATTTGATATTTATAGTATTTAAACACAAATCGATCTTTCCAAAAGAAATTGCGTATCTCTCTTAAAAAATTTTGCTTATCGGCCCAAGTATAATGAAAAGGAATGGTATCTGTGGCTAAATATTTAGTTATGTCTACGTACCATGGTACCTCTGTAATTGTAAATAATTGATCATCAGAAGATTTTCTTAGCTTGTATTAACTCTTCTTTTGTATCATAATTAAGCCTTGATAGATGATCAACCACCACGTTTTTAACTTATTTCTTGTCCTTGATAATGAAATCGAATTTTTGAAGAAACAATATCAATCGTAGGAGATGTGGCTTAGCATCCTTCTTTATTAACAGATATTTCAAGGCAGCATGATCAGTAAACACAACAATTGAGGACCCAACAAAAGATGATCAAAATTTATCTAAAGCAAACACTATAGCAAATAATTTTTTTCTGCGGTAGAATAGTTTATTTGTGCGTCATTCAAAGTTTTGCTTG